TGGAGGCTGAGCAAACTGGCGCTGGGGCTGCTGGAATGGCTGCCCTTGCCTAGGCTGGTAAGGCTGCTGCTGTGGTGGTGGCCCCTGCCTAGTCTGGAAGGGCTGCCTCTGCTGAAAACCACCTGTTGATGCCGGGAAACCAGGTGGTTTAGTGGTGTTGCTACTCCAAGCGAAGTTGGGATGCTGGCGCCACCCCTCATTGTATGTGTTACTGTATGGATCAAGGCGCCGAGCATTGGCGATGAAGGCCAACTGTTCTTGGGGAGTAGAGGACTCCCGCATAGCCTGGCAATCCTCCACCCGATGATTCGGGCTCTCACACCACTGACACTGTGCCACTGGAGGCGCAGCTACACCTCGGCCCGGTAGGAGACTGTTGGGCTGCTTCAATGTCTGCACCAACTCAGCCACCTGCTGCTCTAACCCGGACCTGGCCTCCATAGCGTGCACACCACGGTCCCGGGAATGCCTGCCTCTGCTGCTCTGCCCCCAGGAATGATCGCGGGCAGCCAAGGTACTGATCATCTGGTTCAGCTCGGGTGGAGTCTTAGTGAGAATATCCCCTCCTGGGCATAGAGACTCGATCACCCTCTGGCTGTATGGGGTGAGGGCACTGTAGAAGTTCCCTACTGTGAAAGCATCGCTGAAGCCATGATGGGGACACTGCCAGAAATATCCCATGTACCGCTCCCATGCATCACGAAGGGACTCATCTGGCTCTTGGCGGAAGTGAGTGATCTCCCGCTGAATTTCAGTAGTCTTCGATGCCGGATAATACCTGTGCACGAACTTATCCGCCAGATCGTCCCAAGAAGTGATGGACAGTGGGGGCTGGGTCTCCAACCACCTCTTAGCATTCCCCGCCAGAGAATGGGGGAAGAGGTGAAGGCAGATTGCGTCATCCGGAACACCATTCAGCTTAAACCCGTTCGTCAGCTGCAGAAAACGGGAAAGATGTGCCCGGGCTTCCTCATTCTTCAAATCATGGAAATGGATAGATGATGTAATGAGTTGAATCCAGCATGGCTTGATCTCGAGGTTGTTTGCTGGGATGGGTGGATAGAGGATGATCGGGCGGATGTCAGCATTCCGTGGAGTGTAGTAGTACTCCAAGGTGGGACCCGGCGGTGGTGGTGGATGCTGATTCACCGGGGAAGCCTGTCGAGCATTCCCCGGTTGTGGGATGTCTTCGCCCTCCATCTCGTGTTCGTCCTCGGATTTGCTACTCAATTGGCCGTCTCTGTACTCCACCGTAGCCAGTCTAGCTCGCTGTTGTCTCCGAAGTTGGTTGCAGGTGCGTTCAATCTCTGGATCCAACGGCAGTAAACCTCTCGACTGGCTACGGGTCATGCACTGTCTGCACACAATCAAGCAATGCAAACCCGTGAAGGCACAAGTGGGAAAGAACAAAAACTCAATGCGAAAATGAAAATGCTAGAGTAACAGAAATCACTTTTCTTCAACAACCTAGCCGTCCCCGGCAACGGCGCCAAAAACTTGACTCACTCCTATTGTCACTCTAGAAAATGGCCAAGTGTAACCACTTCCTAAAGCGTAGTAAAGCGGGTTGGGTTTCAATGTCAACCCGGGTCCTAGATGTGATGACTACTCAGTGAATTCGTATTATCTAGCAATGAAACTTAAGTGAAGGTCTAAACTAACAAGCAAGCAAAGCAACTAAACGGTTGTTTCAGGTTAAGAGAGGTCACCCGGATATGGTTCCCCCTAGTCTGCAGTTAGCCGGATTGTAATTACCAAGTTCAATTTCTATGATAGTTATACTGCGGGAGGTTCTCAAACAGTCTGAAGTCTCGACTAAAGGTCTTCAGACCCTCTCAATCTGAGTCTCTAGCGGGCGACTAACCTCCACTGGAGTAAACAGTTTGAGGCCCTAACGAACCAAACCTCCACTACCGAATTGACTTCGGTACAGAATAGCGAATTGGCTCCTCGACTAAAGTCACCAATTCGCTACCTTCAATTAAGGATGCTCTATCAACCTAGGCAGATATTCTCATTCTAGGTTAAAGCAGAAACAACAGGAATTTGGTCAGGATTCATGCCATTCAATCATTCAAACCTCAATCGAATATAATCAAATCATAGAAACAGTACTTGGGTTCATACAATCAATCCCAACATACAAAACTAGGGTTTCCCACACCCAGATGAATGAGAGAACTACTCCATGGAGAAAGAAGCAAAAGTAGAATCAGATGCGGAAATCATACTGTGAAGATGGATTTCTGCTCCTGGACGTTGAATCGGCACTTCTCCAAGCTCAAGCCAAGCTCCAATGGTGTTGAAGATTAAGCTAGGGCACTTGAAGACTCTTGTTCGTCGCTTTCTCTCTCTAGGAACCGCTCTGTCTCTCAAAAACTCGAATCCCCCCCTCTTTTGGCTGAAAATCTGCCTAAAAGGGCATCAGTGGCCAAAGCACGGTCGAAGGCACGGCCGTGCTTTGCCTCAGCCCGCCCGTGCTTTGGCTAGGGTTAATTACACTGCCAGCAGTTGGGGAAAACACGGCCGTGCTTTTGGGAGAACACGACCGTGCTTTGGGAAAACACGGCCGTGCTTTGTCTCTGCCCTGCCCGTGTAATCAGCTCATGTCTGCCAAACTCGAATTAGCTCTCGGCAGTAAAAGCACGGTCACAGAACACGGCCGTGTTCTGAAGGCCTCCTGCCCGTGTTTTCACTGCCGAACCTGTTCCCCTATATTCAATGCTTCGTTTCTCCCTCGTCCGGACTCCGAATCAGTCGCCGTTTGATCCCAGACGCTCGTAGTCTCGTCCTCTTTCTTTTCATGACAAACTTGCATGATTCTTTGTCCATAAAGTGAGGTAGAAATCCATTCTTCTTCAGGTCATGCCAGAGTTTCTTCTCCCGAATCGCCAATTGATCTCTGATTGACTTGAAACTTGCGCCTATGCTTCACTTTATGTGCTAGGACCTGAAATGTAACAAAGGAACACAACCTAGCGTAAAATAGGCCAAAGAAGCGATAATGCAAGCTTAAACGATCAAGAAACAAAGGGGAAAAACATGTGCAAATATCGAGTCATCAGGCTTACTAAACCTGTGGGCCACCTACAATCAATTCGCCCAAGCAGCATTATAGCTTCCAACGCATCAACGGGCATCGCTTGGATTCGAACCTGTGATGTACAACTCTCAACCCTTCACTGTCGCGTCAGTTTTACCGTTAGGCTATCTTACCTTTGGTATTTCCCTTAGATAATTGAATTATCATAAGCACAAAAGCATTTCATTGTGTTATTCTTAGGCCTAATATTAATTATTAGTAAAAAAAAATTTCGTTCTTTTTTATTTGCTAAACCTATTGAATTGCTAATAATTAGCCAAGCATTACATAAATATATAAAAAAAATTGACATTGACCAATTACCATTAATTATTATTTTAACGGTGCCCCACCACATCATCCACCTCAGCATCCAATAAAATAAAAATAAAAAATAAAAACTAATACAAATTATTTTAAAATAAAATAAAAATTAAAACTCTCCCCTCGTCTCTTCCCACAACTGATCTATCCTTCCGATCTCCACTTCTCCGGCTCCCCTCTCCGACACCCATCATAGCATGGCGCCAGTCCGACGTCATCGACTATCTCCTCCACTTCCTTGGGTTCGAGGTCTAGTACGATAAGAAAGATGGTGTGGCTCCCAGAAAATCCAGACGAATCTCTGGATCTGCTCGAGTGAAAGCACGATGGGGTTGATGGGAGAGTGAGTGAAGGCATGACTATGTCGGCGGAGAAATTGACGAAGGAGGAGAAAGCATATTAGTGTCCACCAAGCTCATTAGTACGGGGCCTTTTGGGGAGGATATTTAAGAGTAAATCCGCGCGGCTTTGGCCCAAAGCGGACAATATCGTACTAATTGAGATGCTCGGTTATGACATAATATGTGTTCAAATTAAATTTTCATCAGTACTCAAATTAACCTTAATTTGGGCTTATTGGAGTCGGTGGTGGAGCCATAATTCACAACGATGGGAGGGAGGATGTGCTTCGGGGTGTTCAAATGGTTACCATGGTAATTACTAAACCAAAAAAGTCTAAATTTTATTAACCATGAAATACACTATCATTTAACCAAACCGTCCAAACTAATGCAACAGCCAAATTAACCAAACTAAAGTTTAATCGATTTGGTTAATTAGTTAACCGGATGAACCAATATAACATCACATTATCATTAAGTGAAAATTAGTTAATGCATCAATTCACAATATGATGCTACCATACAATAACTGATCTACGGTGTTCCAGGCTCAAATGCACTTCCACTCCATTCCAATACGAAGCTGGTGTTGAAGCCTCCACACGCATACTAGAACCATGTATTGGTATATCACCACCTCTCCCAACTCATCGAATGCTTGCTACACGTACTCTTGGGGAGCCTACCGCCCTCGAACCCTACGGGGAGGTATTTGGGGTCGAATCCCAAGACCAACATGCATATGTTGTCACACATGAACCTATTAAACACATCTTGTATATCCAACGCCTCGTCCTGATAGAAACCGGCTCTCCGGGATCTACTTAATAAATGGAAAAGGGAATGGGAATGGGAAAAGGAGCCTTGGTTGGCTCCTGGTGGTGGTCGTGGGCTAAGGAAGGGGAAGGGGGAAGTGTTTGGAACGAGGAAGGAGAAGGGGAAAGGAGGGAGTTGGCGGCAGTAGGCTTCCAGAAGGGAGAGGGGAATTTGGAAGGGGTCGGCGGAGAGGAGGGAAAGAGAGGGATTAGAATATCATTAGGGTTTAATCTCTTTGCTAATTCTCATTCAACGTAGAAAAATAGTTTAAATAAAAATTCCTAATTACCGATGACTACCCCAACTTATTAGACCCGCAATCGAATATCCCAAATACCCATTAATTCGTAAACAATCATAAACTAGCAAATAAGTCCAAATGCTAAATAAATCGAAATGCAGGTTTCTATCACGTCCCCACTGGTTCTTGTTGTTGCTCAGTCGAGGACCGGTAAAAGGTTGCTCCTCAACTTCCTTTTGAGGGTCTCCATGGCATGACCCTCAAACTTGGGGTTGTTTAACAAGGAATGGAGGAGCTTCCTCTGGAACTTCCATGACTCGCCGTCGACATTAAAGATCACGTCGCCCAGAGGATCCATTATGGCCTTGAAGTCGCGACCCTTCTTGTAGTTGGCCCCGTTCTTGTTGATGATGTGGTTGATGTTGGTGGGATCGCTCGTCACCATGAAGTCGACGTTCATGAAACTGTTTCCTTGAGAAGGAACGTTCTCCATGTTAGCCTCAAGGCTTGGGTGCAGAAGTCGTGGAGTGTGTAGTTGTATAAGCTCAAGAGGAGGCCAGGGAGCACACTACAAGGAAATGGGCCTAGCCTAGGGGTTTATTTACTGTGATTTCCATAACCCCTGTCAGGCTTTGTTATGTTTACTTTTGGCATCCACTCCACCAGCGGTTGGAGCACCCGCTTAGAAGTCCAACAATTTAATTGTTATTTTGATTTATTTTTCTTTGATATATTTTTTTTTTGCTTGCTGAAATATTGTATCGTAGAGTCCTCAGTTCTCAGTTCCTCGATGGAACAATTCCATTTTCCGAACCCTAACATCGTCACAAGCGAGACCCCCTATCCAATCCCCGTGAAAATCCATGGTCTTTGCATCTCCTTCTCCGATCTTTGCGATTTGAAACTTAGATCTCTACTAGTTGACTGCTTCAACCACCACCCTTGTCTTCCCGGCTACTCAGAAGAACCACCACCTCCGGCCAGATCTCTTTCTCCCACCTGGAGCTTTGATCTTCATGAAATCCGGGTTCTTCCGTCATTTCTCATCTACCTGATTCTGCATTTGTTTATCGTCGTCCGCTGGTAAGCAATTTTTTATTTGATTTCTTTCTTTCTATCTGTATTCGATTTAGATTTTCGGTGAAGTCTCTCTCTTTTTCGATTGCGCAATCGACTTCTAGATCACCAAGGCAAAGTCAGCAAGCTTTGAAACTTTAGTTTTGGTGACTGGGCTGAATTTCGTGCTTGTGGTGTGCGCTGAGGAGCAGTAGGATGTGGAGCACTTGATCAAAGCCAGGGATTAAGAGGTGATTAGAGTTGGGAATTTGTGATCTTTGAATTTATATCAATTAGAACTAATTAGGTATGATTAAAATTGGGCATAAATCTCTTGTTGGATTAGGAAGAGCTGAAAAGTATTTCTTATTGAACTAAACAGTTTTGTGGTCTTATGAGTTATGATGAGTAGATTTTTCCTCCAGAGCCAAGCGGAATGTTCAACACAATTTCCTTATATTGACTGCAATTTAAAACCCCCCTTTCTGGATTTTTTCCCAAACTACCATCGTTTTAATTTTTTTTTTTACAAAAGTACCACCCATTTCGTCAAAATTCCAAAACTACCACAATCCCCCGTAAACCGCGCGGGCAAGGTGCAGTTCACCATTGGACAGCTGCAAAATCGTACCTCCACGTTGCGGTCCATGCAACCGCGCGATAGGCAGACGATCTGACGGCTAACTGCCTGCCAGCGGAGCGATCCGCGTTGCCCACTGATAACTGTTGTCCTAGGGCGCGATTTGCGCGTTGGGAAACGTAAAGTGTGTGCTGGAGGCGCGGTTTTTGGTGGGGTAAAAATACCAAACCGCCCCTCCAGCACACGGTTCTCGCCGTATAAATACCCACCCCCCTTCCTCTCATTTTCTTCACACCAAAACCAATATTCTCTCTCTCTCTAAATTTCTCACTCTATCCAAAAACTAAATAATTTAAAGGTGCACAACTTAAATTTGAAGAAGAAGAAGAAGAAGAAGGAGATGAGTGAAGATTTTGAGTTTTCTGGAGCTGCCTTTTATAGGCAAATTTTACACTGGAAACCGCAGGGGGGCGGGGAGCGGTTTTAGTCTGACATGCAGCCCCCACCCCTGCAACCTCTTGCATGCAGACATGTAGGATGTCGGGTGACGAGGCACAAACCGTTAGGGGGTGGCGGTTTATGTGCATCGACAGGGTAAACCGCTTCCCTGTGGAGCATTTTACCTTGCCGACACATAACCGCTCCATGAGGATGTGGTTTGTGCTAGGGCAGCCATGGAAACCGCTCCTTCAAAGAGCGTTTTTCCCAAAAACGACAAACCTCTTGTCTGGCAGGCGGTTCCATGGTAAACCGCCCCTGCGTGGAGCGATTTTTAATAAACAGTGGTCAATTTGGAATTTCTTCGGTATGGGTGGTAGTTTTGTATTTTTTTTTTAAAGTGGTAATTTTGGATTCCCCCCCCCCCCCCCCCCCCCGCCTTTCTCAGCATTTTGTAGTTTAAGTCACAGTGCAGCATGGAAGCACAAAATTGAATTTTAACTGAGTTCTTTTTTGGCATTTAGGTTCTCTGTTTACTTGTTGTTTTTAGATACCTTTCAAGGTAAGTCGTGTCTTGTAGTAGTTATCATAGTACTGCTTTGTTATACTTCTATGAGCTACTGTTTTGGGATTCTCTCTGTCTTCTTACCTTGGGGTGAGATTTGTGGCTTTATATAATTGAGTTGCTACAAGTCTGCTTGATGTTGATGATGATTAGCATAATCATTTTTGTTGCTGCTGGTGCAGGTTCTGGACTTCCACTTGAGCTTCCTCTTCTGTTCATCATCCTTTTCTTCGGATCAGGCTGATGCAGCTGGAGCTTGATTTTGGGCAATAGATGGTTTTGCGTGGCGAGTGGAAGTGCTAATAGCTTTACTATGACTCTGGTTTATGGTTTCCCTCAAGAGTAAATTCTTCTAATCGATGCTACCTCTCTGATTTCTTGCAATAGAAGTGACAATTTACGATGGCTATGTACTTCTACTCCAATACGGATTTGACTACACATTGGATGGTAATTTTGCTTGTCACATCACATGACAAAAGGGGTTTGCTGAGTTTTGTTTGTGTGCTGATTTTTTTTTGTTATGTTATCTGCAGATTATGCCTCTTTGTTGTAATACTTAATCCTTCTGTGGCTTGAGGTCAGGGGGTTAGCTCCCTTGTAGCAGCCTCCTCCATGGTCCGTACTTGAAATCATATACATGTACGTGCATATATAAGCGCCCCGGGGATATATGCACTTATGTAAGCAGACGCAAGATATAGATTGTAACTAGATCATTTGTTGTTATAGGTTTCAGATGGCCTGGAAAAAACTAATGTGGCAACATAGCTTGTAGTCGAGAGAACAACAGTAAACCCCCTCTTGGGTTAGACATAGTGACATAAAAGAAAGATCAGTTCCCCTTCATAATGAACTAGGTTAGTTGTTCCTTTCATCTGGAATCTTTTGATATCTAATTTGGTTGGTTTTTGTGGTCTGATAGTCTTGTTTATGGCAAAAGGTTCTGAAACTTCTTTGCAAGTTTTATGAGGTTTTGATATAGACACAATAACACCAATATCTTGTGCACATGTCTTGTAGAAATATGTTTATCATCATCAAACAGACTAAACACAAAGCGGTTTTTAGATGGCACATAAGGTGATTTTGGTTTATGTTGTTGGTAGACTAACCCAGATATTGGTTTCAACAACTAGTTCTCCAAATATTTAGATATTAATTTGCACCACCATCCAATGTCATTGTGCTAATTATGGGAGATGAAGAATGGAGATGTTACTATTGTTTGAGGTTCATATATTGAAAACATGGAGTTTACCGTTTTTGTGGTTTTACTCATGTTTGAAGTTACTTGCAGGCTACATAAGGCAGGACTAGACAAATGACATAGCAGGTTTAGATCCAGACTTGATTCAATATAATAGTTATGTGTCACTTTTTTGCTTAAGAAAAGATATAGTTTTGGGATGTAGAGGTATGATATGCTTTTTAGTTATATTTTAAACAAAGCTACTACTAGGGAAAAAAGTCTTAGAAGTTATGCTGGGTGATTATGCTTGTTTCATTGGATACTTGTATTACAGAATGCTTGGTTTTATATGAAGTGGTTTTTGCGCATGAAGATTCTAAATATGCCCACCTTACTAGGGTATGTATGATTGTGATTTCCTGTTGGGTGATGCGATCTAGAGAGTTTCTAGGTTTATAAATATTTTAGTTATTTTATTTTCCTTCATGTATTATATTGTTGGAATTTTAATCAATGTATCTCTTATATTTGAGTTCTAACAATTTTTAATCAATGTATCTCTTATATTGTTGGAATTTTAATAAATATAATATTTTTCGAATCTAACCATCGAATCGCTAGCCTGATACCTATTGTAAGCATTAGACCAAAATTTTCTCAACTCTGCATCTATGACACTGCTAATGAACTCCAAACATGTTATATTGTTTATTCTCGAATCCAACTTCAAATCCTTTGCACGATTTAATTATTTAACAATTGCAGGCGATATTAGATTCAATTAATATCTTAGTAAAGACATTTCGATCTGCAAGGGATAGAGTGAATGGTAACACTATTCAACAAGTTGAAATTAATGTACTTGCTAAAAGAGAAGGGGATGGTAGAGAATATGATTTTCCATCTACAAATGATGTCACTAATCTAACTGTAGGTGAACTGAGAGACAAACATTTTCTCCTCATATTGTTGTCCCGTATCAAAGTCAAGAACTGGAACAAATTAGTATATATCGTCCCAGTTAAATGGCTTTGCAATATCTCATATTATTCCCACATGGCGAGGTTGGTTGGTATCCAAACATTACATATTCTAGCATTGAGGGTGCAGATGGATACAATGAGAAGAATGTGACCCAAGGTGGTTTTTGCAGTTATAGACTCCAAACAAGACTGGAAGAATTAAACACATTGCTATTGTGTGAAAAGTTTTCCAAAAATATGTTGTTAATGCATATGCATTGGTTGAGGCAGAGCGTTTAGAAACAATCAAACAAAGTTGCGACAACATTACTACCAAGGTCTTTTGGATTCTTATTTGAGAGGTCATTAAGATACCAGTTTAAGGGGAAAGCATGTAATTTTAGCTTCATCGCATACAGGTAGTCCTCAATATAAGTATGGAAGCTTCCAGGTTGTTATGGCAATTTGTAAATGGGCAGGATATTCAGATATTTTCATTACATTTACATGTAATCCTGCTTGGCCTGAGATCCAATACATGCATCCTTGATTTCATAAGAACTACTACTAGCAAAAAGATCCTAATAGAGTTTTGTCCTCGCACGAGTTTTCAAACTGAAGTTACATCAATTGCCGATGGAGATTTTGGAGAATAAATATTTTGGGAAAACATGTGCATGTAAGTTAGATTCAATAGTTT